AATTTTAATTATTATTAAAATATTAAATATATGTACCAAATGACTAATGACTACCAGTGCAATTTTATTAAACTATATAAAAGAAAGTTTAGTTGTGTGAACACTATTTTTTTTATAAAAAGATATAAAAAAAAAAATTGACCTGCTAAAGAAATTTTCATTTAACTCAACAAAAAAAAAAAAAAAAGTTGAAGGACTTTCACTTTTGGGAAGACGATAAATACTGGTGTCCAGCACTTCAATTTTTGAATAATCCATCACTCCTTTGTTTGCTGAATTGTGTTCATCTTTAAGAAAATGGGGAGGTTAATATGGTTTTCCCAAATCCTCTGCCTTTCCTTCATGTTGTTACAGTTTCGAGTCCAAAGCTCCTCACCTTCTCAATCTTCTCTTGATTCACCGGCACATTTGTGCCGTCCTGAAGAGCGTTCTGCATTGCTTGATTTCAAAAGCACTGCTAATTTGGTGGACTTCTGTTCTCTATTTCCTCCTCGTCCTATAATACAAACTTGGAACGAGGGTAGCGACTGCTGCTTGTGGGAGGGCATCACATGCGACAAGCGGAATGGTCACGTGACTGGCCTTGATCTTAGCAATAATTGTCTTGAAGCCAATCTAACAACAAATAGTAGTCTTTTCCGCCTTGAGAAATTGCAAAGCCTCAACCTTGCTTACAACAATTTTAGCTACCACAATCTCTCTTTTGGGTTTGACCGTTGGAAGAGTTTGACATATCTTAATCTTTTGAGTACGAGATTTCTTTTTTTTTTTTTTCTTTTGTTTAAAATCTCCATGCTTCCAAAACTGGTTTCACTTATTCTAATGTGACAAATCTTTAACCTTGCAGGTTCAGGATACATGGATGGCTCTCTCCTGTTTGATGGGATCTTCTTGCTACCGAAATTGGTTTCACTCGATCTCTCTTATAATTATGGTTTGCTTCTTGACAACACAAAGTTTCAAATGCTTGTGCATAACTTAATAGAATTAAGGTTTCTTATCCTTGATTTTGTGGATATGTCTCTGGTTGCGCCTTCTTCCTTGCTAAACTTGACTTCCTCCTTAGAATATTTGAGCTTTCGCCGTTGTAATTTGCAAGGAAACTTTCCAAACCAAGTTTTTCAGCTTCCATCTCTCCAGCTTCTTGATTTAAGCTACAACTTTGGTTTAGGAGGTAATTTGCCTGAGTCAAACCTGAGTAGTACCCTCGAGTATTTGAATCTTGCAAACACAAACTTCTCAGGAGAGTTGCCTTATTCAATCGGAAATCTTAAACTCCTAAAGAAATTGCATCTTAGTAGCTGCCAAATTTATGGATTAATTCCTAGATCTCTTGCAAATCTTACAGAGATAGCTCAGTTAGATTTTTCTTCCAACCATTTGCAAGGGCAAATACCAGATGTTTTTGGAAAAATGCACAAGCTGACTGATTTGAGCTTAGATGCAAACAACTTTGATGGTGAAATTCCTGCATCAATTTTCAACCTCACCCATCTCACTTTTTTGTCACTATCATCAAATAAGCTATTAGGTCGGGTACCATCTTGGTTGTTTTCTCTGCCTTCTTTATCTTATTTAGACCTCCAAAACAACTGCCTTACCGGACCTATTGATCATGTTGAGATGCCCAATCTCATTTTACAAGAAGTCTATTTGTCCAATAATGAGATAAGTGGTTCAATTCCAAGCTTCTTCTTTGATCTTGTGCATCTTACTAGAGTCCACCTTTCTTCAAATAACTTAATTGGCACCATTACAACCGACATGCTTTCAAAGCTTGTAGACCTTTGGGATCTTGATCTTTCCAATAATAGTTTGCTATCTTTGAGCAATAATGGCACTGCTGTCAACAATTCCTTTCTTCCGAGCCTCCTATCTTTAACATTGTCTTCTTGCAACGTACACAAGTTCCCAACTTTCTTAAGGAAGGCAGAGAATTTGCAACAATTGGATATTTCCAAGAACAATATTTCTGGTCAAATTCACAAATGGGAAATAGAAGGGATGTCGTCATTGCAGTATTTAGACCTTTCTTATAACTTCTTGACTGGTATAGATTTGTTTGCTTTCAAAAATCTTATCAGCGTTGACCTTAGTTCCAACTTACTACAAGGATCACTTCCCATTCTATCAACAGCTCAGGATGTTTCACGACTCTTCATTTCAGGGAATAATTTGACTGGCGAAATCCCTTCTTCTTATTGTAATTTTACCTCTCTTGAAGTTCTAGTCTTAGCTAATAACAGGTTGGGAGGAAAAATTCCTGAATGTCTTGGAAACTTGAGTTATCTCCTTATCTTGGATTTGCGGATGAATAAGTTCCTTGGTAGGATTCCGAATTTCATTGTCAACGACAGTTTCTTGTTAACTCTCAGCCTAAATGGCAACCAGTTGGAAGGGATACTGCCACGGTCTTTGGTTAATTACAAGTGGTTGGAAATTCTGGATGTGGGGAACAACAACTTGAATGATACCTTTCCACATTGGTTAGGTGTTCTTCCATTGCTAAAAGTTCTCATCCTTCGATCTAATCAATTTCATGGTGCCATCAGCAATTCTATGCCTGCTTCATACTTCCTTCAGTTGAGAATAATTGATGTCGCACAGAATGATTTTATGGGTCTTTTACCGAATAACTATTTCAAAATTTTGAAAGGTATGAGAGATGTAGTTCCAGCTGATAAAGTCAAATTGGAATACATTGATGACCATACGCGATGTTTAAGAGACGGACGTTGTCGTAATATTTATGAGGATTCTGTGAAGGTAGTAATGAAAGGGTCAGAGAGGGAACTTGTAAGGATCTTGAAAATTTTCACAACTATAGATTTCTCGGCCAATCAATTTCAGGGACCGATTCCTGACGAGCTAGGAGAACTCAATTCACTTTTATTGCTAAACTTATCTCACAACAGTCTCAATGGTCAAATCCCATCATCATTGGAGAAATTAGCAGAACTTGAGTCATTAGATCTCTCATCAAACAAGCTTGAAGGCAGGATTCCAGAGCAATTGACAAAATTGACGTTCTTATCAGTTTTGAATCTTTCACACAATGAACTTGTGGGCCACATACCTGAAGGGAAGCAGTTCAACACTTTCTCAAATGATTCCTACATTGGGAACTCTAGGTTGTGTGGATTCCCATTGACAAAGAAATGCATACCAAGACCACCTTCACCACAATTTGATGAAGAAGATGACTCTACAACAGTCTTTGAGTGGAAGTTTGCATTGGCAGGCTATGGGTGTGGACTAGTGTTGGGACTTAGTCTGGGATACATTGTCTTCACTACAGGAAAACCATGGTGGGTAGTGAAGAAAGTGGAGAAATATCAACAGAAATTAGTTGGAATGTGCAATCAAAGTCATAAGCAGAGAAAAACCCAAAAACCCAACCAACGCTCTTAAGTGAGTAAGTTTCTACAACTCTCTATAATATTTGTTTTCTAAATAAGTTCTAACCATAAAAATCAAGCCATGTTATATAATAGTGACACTTAATTTTTCTACTTTTGCTTTATTTTAAGTAGGTGCAAGCAGGTGCGGTTGATTTCCTACTTCGGGGAGATCTGGCAACCGTTGCTTCTTGAGTTTGTTTCCATCTTTTTCATGTTCATTGTTGATATATAGTTGTATTTACTTGTGTGGAAATTATGGTTATGTATTAATTTGTTTTATTTCTTTTGGATTTCATCTATCTACTATGCATGTAGTTGCTTATGTATTTTTCCTAGTGTAATTTGTTTCTTTTGATGTAATATCTTCGTATTTTCTTCTCTCTTCCTTTGTTTTGGTTATCTCTGAATGGTGCATTTTAGTAAAGTAAAATGTAGATATTCTTTAATTTTTGGACCCCCAAACATCTCCTTTCACCATATTTCTCCAATCGATGTGGAAGTGGAGATGCATACAATGAATCTTGGATGACAGCTGAGCGATTTCGGGGAGGATTATTACTTAAGAAGGCTGGCTGAGGGATGATCCTAACCTCCTTTGCTTTCCGAAGGCCCACCCTCTAGCCATTGCCAACTCAAGTCTTATTCTTTGACTAGTGATTTGATATATAGGCAGGTAATTTTCTTTTTGGTGTTTTCCTTTTGCTTTGTTGAGTTATGAACTTCTGTCTTAAGGGGGAAAGCTGTAATTTTCTGTGTGGATTAAATTAATGTGTTTTGCCTTTACCACTTAAACTGAAAAATTTTAGATATTTTTATGCTATTTATGCCAAGGTTGAGATAAGATGTTTCTGTCTCTTAAAAACAACATATGTAGGTTAGCATTAACATATGTAAGTTCCAGGTCTCATTTGCAAACTTTTATTTAAATTCTGAGATGTTTACACTGTATTCATGGCTAGTCAGTGTAGATCATACCACAAAGTAGAGATCATTCAATTTGATTTTATTTTGTCGAGATGAATTGGAGTTAAATTTGTAGTTCTTTCTGTGAACCAATCAATGGATATTTCTATTGTCGTTGTTGAAGTAATTACTTGTTTTGATGGCTCTGATATTTAGGTACTTAGTTTGTAGTCAAAGGCTGAGTGTTATTCTTAAATTGAAACATGAAAATTGTCTTTACCTGTTATTGCCATTGATTTTGCATTGTCTTATGAATTATTTTTTGTATCTGATATTTTTCTTTTCATGTCACATTCCTCAAGGGAAGGAAATTCATTTATGAAGAATGGAAATTGCTCCATTAAGAAAATTGTGTAGCAACCTAAATTTATTGTAAGTTCTATTTAACAGTCTATTTCATTAAGGTCAAGCACTTGAATTTGTTTAGCAACCTCAATTTACTATTTGTTCTATTTGTGGCATTTCTAATTTTTCTACTAGCTGCGTTGTATTATGTATTAGACCCAGTTTCTTGCTTTTTCTTTCTCATTTGCTCTTTGCACTCACCAAAACTTCATATTACTCTGGGCCTAGATTAACTAGTAGAGATTTTTGCATTGTTTTCAGATTTAGTTAATTAAAGTGTTACGGAAATTGGGAAAGTAGTTAATCCAGGTCTTATGTTTTTCTGTTATATTTAGGCATCCAAGGTGATTGTGATACTATGTGTTGCTGTCTATTTATCCTGGATGCTATTGCGTTTTAAATTTTATTTGCCATTTAGCCTTTATGGGATTAACACTCTTCTTTTAGCTGTCTTATTTCTTATTTGTTCTTTTTGAAAGCCTCTTGAATGTTTTATTGATTTTGTTACAGTTTCTCCTTTGACCTTTTTGGCGGATCACTACAGAAATGGGAAAAACTCACCTTGTCACAGAGTGTTACATTGTCTACCGTAACCAGTTCACTTGGCTATATATTGCTGCTTTTAGACACTTGGGCACTTGTTGATGCTACTGCAAAAGGTTTGTTCAGTCCAAGTCATTTTGAATTTCTTTAAACTATGGAGATATCTTAACTGAATAATGGATTTCACTTACTCTTTTAAGGATATAATGACTCAAGCTGCATGTTCTTGGAGATGCTAATCAACAAAGGTTGTTTGGGTGTAGTTCCTCTTACTTTGAACCAACAAAGAATGACTACTCACTACTGCCTCAGAAGGAAATTCTTTAGGTATGCCATAATCTTTAAGATAAGTTTAGATTGGAGAAAGAAGTCTAAACATTGAAATCAATTTTCTTTTAAATATAATATGAAAATTTTCCACCCACTGGATTTATTGACTGGGAGTTTTAGTATGGAAATGGGACTCCATTAGTTTACCCACTGAGTGCTTTTATTAGATTACTGTTGCTAGTTCTTGTGCTTTTAGTTATTGTGTGTTGTTGCAGCAATCACTGACATAATCCTCCTCCATTAGTGGAACCCGAGGTGATTTCTTACATAATTGTCCTTGAATGGAATGCCGCCTGCAAAGGAAGGCAATTTGATCGGATTTTTGGGATCTGGCTAGATGGGGTCGAGCTTCTTAGGAGCTGCACTGCAGAGCCAAGAGCTACTGGGATTGTGTGGAGTGTCAAGAAGGACATAACAAGGTATTACTCTTAGCTTGTTAAGAATGAGACACAAAGTCTTGCTGTTTATTTGGGTAATTTAGTTGATCGAACTTATACTGACGTTTATCATGTGGACATAACTGTTTACTATTACCCTGCTGAGAAGAAATTCAATGACTTTGAGAGCAATTTGGAGAACTTGGCATCTGGGTGTGGCTCGAGGGCTGATTTAATCTTACCCATTTCACGGAATTTTCCATTGAATGATGGGTTGTGGTAAGAATTCCACAGATGCTGAGGGGAAGGAAATCAAAATTCCTCAAAATGTGTTTAGGGCTGTGTTAGAGGTGTATGTGTCATTCCATGAGAGTTTTTTGTGTCCCAAACATAAGATATTGCCACGAATTACCCCTTTGCAACCAAAGGAAAAGTGAATCATCAAAAAATGAAAGCCATGATGATTTTTCTTTCAAATTCTTCAGCAATGATTTCCCATTCCTTCCTCTAAAAAAAAAATAAATAAATAAATAAAAGACAAAAGAATATAGATGAGTCACCCGTCAACCAAATTATCAAGTAAAACCCATTTTCCAATTTGGTTACGATCAGAGGCGGAAAGTGAGTTATTATTCCCCCAAATATGGAAAAAAACAACATCAAATCCACACGTCAGATAAACATATCAAGATGCATGATACTGCAGCCCCTTTTAATTGAGTCATTCCCCTGCAACCCTCACACAGAGTCCTGAGTCCTCAAATTTCAATCTCAATACTCTCCTCTCAGCCTTCGGTTAACCAACTCTCCTCAAGGTACTCTTTTTTCTCATGGTAGATTTGTACAGTTTTTTTTTTATGGGTTTTTTATGTGATCTAGTTTTTTTGCCATTTCTTTTTTTCTATTTTTTTGAAGATCTCCTCTTCACCCTCAAATCTCAATTCCTAATAATTTTCTCTAGGGTATTAGATATTCGTTGTTGAATATTTTGCTTTGATTTATTTAATTTCCAGTGATTTTTTAGAAATTTACATATGATGCACTTTTATTTGAGAGAATGTTATGGCCATTGATGGAGGAGGTGAGTTCCACATCATGTAATCATCTTAAAAAGATGTTAGATGTTCTAATGGTTACATCTTTTTAAGCTAAATTTTTTGAAATTTCATTATTCAAATTTTGAGACTAGATCTAACTAATTTGAAGATGGTCCGTGAAGGACTCCAACAATCAGATGTAAAAGAAAAGAAAGAAAATCATCTTAAAAGATGAGATCTTATAATCTTTTTGTAATTTAAATATCAAATATCAAGAGATAAAGATAAATATTATCATGCTTTAAATTAGTTTGGCTGAAATTCAAATCCCTTCCTTTTATCACCATTAAGAAAATTATAAGTTCATTTTTACCTAATGCATTGTGTGTAGGTTTGATTTTGTTGGATTGCAATGGGAAGTAATGGACGGAGCTGGGCAGATCAATGGGGAACAAGCAGTTTTGGCAGTGAAGATGATGATGGCAAGCTCATGAACAAGAAAGCAAGCGGCAGCAGCGGAAAGAAGATAGCGGAAGTGAAAGCAGCAGCTTCTGTGGGGTTGGACAAGGCCAAGGAGGCTGCTGCAACGGGTGCACAAAAGGTGAAAAGTGGAACATCCCTAGGGATCAAATGGGTCAAGAATCAGTACCAGAAAAAGATGTCTTCCAAATGAACCAGTGCCTACAAGCTAGATGTGGTACAAGTGGAAGTGTTTCTTTAAAGTAATTCAGCCTTTGTAAGGAAAGACTATTTTCTTGTCTTATGTTCCATTTCCAAGTGAATACAATGGCACAAAGTTGGGTCCAACTGGATTGTTAGGCTTGTTTGTTCAGGTTATAACAAATGAATTCCATATTTTCTTTTCAAGTTGAGCTTTATCAATAATGGGACTTTTTTGGCTAGACGTGCAATGCATCCATCCATTATACTAGTTAAAACTTGACTCTTACTCGAGAGTCTTAATTC